AGCCTGGAGGTGAAGTACACCAAGGTGAGCTGGCGAGGGGAGGCGGGCAGCGGGGCTTTGCCCCCGCGTCGCCGAGGCTTGGTGGAGTCAGGCTGGTGGTGAAGTGTTATTTCTTTAATAGAAAGTTTTTCTCCCTCATTGTCATTTTTCTTAATTTTTTTAACTTCCTGCGGCACTTACAGGGGTGTAGATGCGGTTGAGTGGCTGGAGCAAGCAGATGACCGTGGCATTTCTAGGGGAGCTGCTGTTGCCCCAAACTCTAAAGCCCAAGAAACCAACTTTTTTTTTTTTTTTTTTCTTTTTTTAATGCTAGTCTTATGGTGCTGCCCACGGGCACCTCTCCCTGGCTGTGTGGCAGGCCCTGATGCCAATCAGTGGCAGGCCTGCTGTGTGAGGGCTGCGGTGCCACGCTGGTCTGTCCCCTCCCGGTCACCCTGACCGCCATCTTCCCCAGCGCCCTGTGCGGTGCTCACAAACGCACTCGGTAAATGCTTGTAGCATCATGTTAGCGCTCGGTGAAATTGGATTTGGATGGGGTGAGCCCGGGCGGAGGTGAGAAGGGGTTTATCTGTGAGGAAGCTGCTTTGCCCGGGTTGCGTTCAGCCGCCCTTGACCCCGTAGTGAAGCTCCCCTGCGGTGGGATGAGGCCCAGCAGGGAGGGGGGTTCAGCGCCAGGGGGTGGCTTTGGCTCCTGGTGAATGCAGGGAGCGTGGAGGAGGGCCAGCGTCCTGCAGGACTGGGCCTTGTGAAAGGGCTCTGTGATGGGACTGGGGCCACCCCACAGCTCCCAAAGAGGAGCGGTTTTCATGCATGTCTTGTTGGTGGCTCGCCATCCCAACAGAGCTCCTCCATGGCCTCTCCACAGGACGAGAAGTCAGGCAGCAAGCCCACAAAAACACGTATCTCTCTGCTTTCTGTCCATCTTTCCTTTAAATGACCTTTAAACAGTCGCTCCTGACCTTTTGGATTTAACCGAAGGCTCCTGAGCTTGATCGCTCTGTTCCCTCAGAGGTGAGGCTGGTGCTGGTGAGCTGAGCGCCGCTGCAGAAATCTCTGCTCCCTAACACAGCCGTAGCTCAGCGATAGCCGAGTCGCTTTTTGTTCCACAACAGCCTGACCCGCTGTCTTGCGCAGTGAGGGAAACATCCCGGCTGGTTACGCTGCTCGGCAGCCTTGACTGCCATAATTTGAACTCTGTGGCTGGACTAAAAGAGCTGGAGGGGCTGAATGAGCGTATTAATTACTGTTACATTTTTGTATTAAGTATTAAAAAAAAACCCAGCAGAACTTAAAGTTCGTTCTCTTGCAGTGAAAAGGAGTAAACAGCGATAGCTTAGCCCGTGAGGTGTTGATTTGAATTATGCATCTGAAGTACTGAAAGAGATTAGCCATTAGTGGTAATCACTGCACTAGATTAATTTTTAACATCCCAAATTTATCTACTTTTTCTTTGTAAGATAACGTCATTTAGCAGCAAATTGGATCTGCAGCTGCTGATTGCAGAATGGCGTAGTGCTGCACAAACAGCTCTTTCCTGCGTCCAAAATGGACACGGCCATTAGAGTTCTTCTTAAACATCCAAATGTTCTGGTTTTTGTTATTTTTATTGTTGTGAACACTTCTAAATACTCCTTAGGGATCTGATCCTGCAGCCATGTATGTTTTAAAACACGTGGTTTTTATTCTCCAGAGTTTTGCCAGAGACTCTGTGGACTGAAGGTAACAAGGTAGTCTCTTAAAAGTGGAAACCAATGTTAATTAAAAGTGTGAATTTGACATTTGATCTGATGCTCCCGGTGCATCCGAGAAAATAATGAGCCACAGTCAGTTTTCATAAAACTGTGAGGGGTTTTCTACAAGCTCTGAGTTTCACCAGATGTTTACAGCTGACAGCACACTCTCCTCTGCTTAGCAGAGATTTTTATTTTTGGTTCTACCAGTTACGGGGCTGGGGGAGAGGAAAAATTTTCAACAAAGATCTTACTTATAGAGCAGCTTAATGCTTGTCATGGATGTGTGATGGAAGTGATCTGTCCACAATCCCGTGTCCCAAATGCTGGGAATGAAGCATGAACGGCTGATGGCTGTTCTGTTTGATTTGAGGTCCTGGCCCCAAAGACTCTGGCTACGTGGTGTGATTTCCAGAATGATGCCAGCATGTATGTTATGTTTGAAACAGCTTGATCCTATCACTCTTGAGTTTTACTACTTCTTTTAGGAACATCACTTTCCCATCCCAAGCCTTTCACACAGAATTAATGTTGAATGTGTAGGAAAAACGGTATCCTTCCCCGATCCTTTGTTTGTGAGCATGTACCTGATGTTGTAATTTTACAGTTCCTGTCGTATCTCCCACGTTTATAGCATAATTCTCTTTGTTAATGAAACAAAGGAAACCTGAGGTTAAAATGTGTAAATGTTAAAATGCAGCACTTGAGTAATAGAGGTAGTTCAGGAGCATTAGTGTGAAGTTAGTTAATGTTTCTAACATTGTATTTTTTTCTTGTGACTTCACTTGACAACTACTTTGCCAAAATTTTCTCTTTCTGTGCCTGCCTGAAACAGGTGGGTCCAAAAGTGCAGCTTCTATGCCAGTCAGATCTCAGATACTTTTTGCAGAAATAGTCAGGAGAAACTCCTTTCAGGAAAAAGCTGCCCAAGGAAAGAAAACTATGACCCAAAGCAGTGGGAATTCCGAATGTAAGGGATGCAACATCAATCTCCTGGTGGTGTGTAGAGACTCATAAATAAGATTGCAAATGTGGATGACTTCCAAGTAAAAGTACTAGCTTACAGCCGCTAACAGGCTACTAATAAAGATTACTTCATCTAATCTTACTTAAAGTATATTTATAAAATATAACACTGCCAAGTTAGATCACAGTGTGGATAAGATGCATGTTGAATCAATTAATTGTGTATAGGTATTCATGTTCTGTTTACACTGAGTAACAGCGCTCTAGTATTTAATGCATTTTCAGTTACGCAACACTGGGACTGTTTGTTCTTGCTCTGGAAATGCAATATTTTGAAACACTTAAATCTTGTCACAGATGACTCCAAGTGACGTGGGAGGCTAGATCGAGCCTGTGACAAGGCATGGAGGGGTAGAACTGAGCCAGTACTTACCCTCCTCCGGACAGTGCTGGGGAGGGGGGGGCAAGTCATGGAAGTAGCCCAGGGCAGGAAGACAAACAACCAAGTAATCTTGTACACTGACATTTCATTTGTAGCGGGTAACAAGGGGCTCCTTTTGCCTGAACCATACAAGTTTCTCTTGGTGTCTGCTTGCTGTTCCCATGGAGATGTATTTCAAAAACTGTCTGTTTCTCATTGCCAGATTATGGTGTTATACTGTGTGGGCCCCATCCTCTGTCTTCCTCTTGCTCAAAGCTAAGTGGGTGCATGAAAGCTTTTTCGTCTATTCTCTGGCTTAGGTTCTAGTTTGGAGAAATGCTGCCTGTATTGCAAACAGTCTCCCTGGGAGAGAAACTGAACTTTGTGGGGACCTTTGAGGAGTATTTATGGGGTTTTTGCATTGTCTACATCAGTTTTTTTTCTTCTCCCCATCCCACTCCCCTTGCTCTCTCTTCAGATATTTATTAACAATGAATGGCATGAGTCTACAAGTGGAAAGAAGTTCCCCACCTACAACCCTTCAACGCTGGAGAAAATTTGTGACATTGAGGAAGGAGACAAGGTAAGTGTTGTTGAAAAGGCAGTGCAAAAGACCGTTTCCAAGGGACTGCCCTGTAGGGAAGCACACAGAGGAAAACCTGGCTTTTAATGACAACGTACATCTGGCCAGACTATGAGCTGAAGGCCTGGGACACTAGATGTGCTGCTCAAAAATTACACTGGGTGGGTGGGTGGGATCAGTCCTTTTTTCAGAGTCACTTTCCCTGCCGGCCAAACGCTGTCAGAGGGATGAGATTTGGTATCATTCTTCTGTTATCGGCTGGAGGGAAGCAGCCAGTGTGAGGAAATAGCAATGATGGTGTATGCACATCCCTGACAGAACTTGGGCCTCGTGTTGGGGGGTGGCTTATACACAAGCTGCATGGCAGCCTACTGGAGACACTGAACTGAAACTTGCCCTTTTGTAAACAGAATCAACAAATAACCTGAGTGCTTGGGGGAATTTAAGACCAGTCATGCAAACACTGCCCGCTTTCTCCTAGAGATGTGGCGCTGCGTCTCCAACAGGTATCATGGGTTCTGGCCTCCTGCGCAACTGTGGCAACTCTCAGTTAAAGCCAAACCAGTATCTCAAGAACTTTAGTAGGCCCTGGCCCTGGTGGGCTGTAGGTTAGCCTGGGACATAGCTACCTGGGTTTGGTAAGAGGCTGAGGTGAGGAACAATCAGCTGTGGCGCTTTTTGTCCAAAACAGCTCATCATGTATGGGCCAACTGGCCTGATCTATGGGAAAGAGCTGGCCGAAGAGCTGGCTTTTTGCAGTGTGTCATGGGAAGGTGAGTCACAGCTGCTTTGCTGTACCAGGGCTTTGGCTGCTCGTTGCTGTGGCAGTAAGTGATGGGCAGTGTGGGCGTTTCTGCCCATTCTGTGGTATCCTTTTCTTGGCATTAAGCTTGTCCAACACTTGCGAGGCCCAGTGCCTGCTTGCCATCCAGGTAGCTGCCTTGGGGATCCTTCCGTGGTAGAAGTGATACTAGTTAAGCAGAGACAATGTGTTTTCTGGTATTATGCTGTATAGAGCTTGACTCTTCTGAACATGGGAGCAAACTTGCTTGGCAATACAAGTCTCCAGCCTGCAAGCATATAGTGTGTAAGGTAGCTGTTCTTTTTGGATGGCCCCAAAGCAACCTCTGAGACCTATCGCTGTGGGGGATCTGTGCATCCATGGGGCAATCACAGACTGAGGCAAAACCAAACATGTGTGGGACACAACTGTGTTTAATTGCAGTGACATGTAAACAGTGGAGTTGAGGCTAACTCTGATGCAACTGTATCTTGCTAGGGAGAATCCATGGTGATGTTATTGTTCCCTGAGATGAGTGTCTCCTCAAGCAGTTACAGAGCATTACATGAGTGTTTCAAGCCTGCTTCTTAATGACTTGGGTAAAGAAAACTGTTATGCAGAACTAAAAGGCCAGTTTTGCAGCTTGCCTCCTTGAGGCTTGTCCCTGCCTGAATTCGAGGATGACTTTCAGCTTCTAGCTTGCAGGAGAGTCACTATCAACCTGTCCTTGGGGGCCAGTTAGTGGAGCCCTCTGCCCATGGATACTCAGCATAGGTGGCTGACTCCTCAGTGCACAGAGTAATTGCAGGCAAGAATGTAAGTTAGCTGCACCTTGGGTGCTGAAAGCCTCTTCTTCCACCCCTTTACATCACACTTTTTTAAAAAAAATAAATTATTTTTTCCTCTAAATAGGTTTTTGCAAGGGACTGCGTGCAGTTAGACCTGGATCTGGATTAGTTAGAAAGCAGAGTCATGGGTGGGAAGCATCCCAAACTAGCTGTTTGGCTACTGGTGACACTTGGCCATGTCCCACTGGCAAACTGAGTCCTCTGAGACTTCCTCTGCCCTGGTTGAACATCCCCTCCCAGGTCTGTAACTCCGGTCTGTTGCAGTTACTATGGAAAGTGGTGAGTTGTGTTTGGTGGTGCTTTCCAGTGTCTTGTCCCTACGTGCCACCACATTTGGCTGTGCTGGTCGGTGCCACCGCAGGGGTGGCAGTTCCTGGTACTGGCTCTGTGCTGGGGTTGGCTCTGCCTTCACAGCAGGCTGGGAGCGGGACTCCACTTCCCTAGCCCTGAACAGAAACCTGCCCCTCCCTGGCCGTGCAGAGTGTGTTTTGCTTAGCCTGCACGTGAGGGGTGGGAATTTGGCAGCTGATACCTCAGCGATGACAATTTAGTCTGGTGCTGAAACTTGGCCAATGCTTTATGAGGCTAGGAGCAAAGGTTTTGTTGTTTGTTCTTTAGTTACAGAATTTAAGACAGAATTGCCTTTGATGGCATGGTTGGGGGATAAAGGGAAGTCTTGTGTGGAAAAAGAAGCACTGAAAATAAAGTGGCAAATGCTTCCACTGGATGCTTGGAGGCTTTCTGCCTCCCAAATAATGGCTTAGTGTCCAAGTGTTTGCCAGGTGGGTAACAGAGAAGGAATAACTTTCTTTGTTAGATTTCTGTCCCCAGAAAATAGTGCAGCCCCAGAACTTCCACCCTGTCTTGGTGTTACCACGTGAAGGCAAAAATACTTGCTCCGCTGCCATTTCTCTGTTGACAACACTTAAAACCAGGCGTTTTTCTTCTAGCGGCTTGCTAACAGCCAGGGAGGGCAGGGGGCAAGGTGCTCCTTCCTCAGAGGAGTGCCCAGCTCAGCTGGCTGCCGCAGAGCGTGGGCAGCAGGTCCACAGCTGTGACTTTTGAGCAGACTTGATGCCGTGGAGTGTCTGTCATGGTCATTTCTAAGCAGTTCACTCTTCCATGTCGATCTTTGAAGGGTTGTAAGAGGGTTTCGTTCACAGGCATCCTGCCCCACTCAGATTGCAGTGGCAAGCTGAGGTGATAGGCTGCAGGAATATTATTACCTACAGCAGACTTGCAATGCCCTCAATAAGGGTTTTGGATACTTTGGGCTGTTAAGATGCTGTTTGTAGCTGGGTTCAAAAGTTGGAGCAATGCAATGTGTAGACTGTTTGCAGGGGAGCAGGTCAGAGAACCTCTTCGGATGGAAAAACTGCAGCCAGCTCATGCCCTGTGTCAGAAAAGTGCCTTTCCAAAGATGTGCACAGTGGAGGCTTTTTGAAAAGTTAATAATTGAATCGAAGAGAGATGGTCTCCACTGGGTGTGCTCCATCCCTGGGGTGTCTCCTTCTGGCCAAACCGCAGTAGTGTTGCGCACACTGAGCCTGAAGCCCAGCAAGGCTTTTTTGCAGGCGTTTTCCCTACTGGCAGAGCCAGTGGGGTGGGTGATGGTCTCTGCTGGGCTCTGCAGCCTGCTGCTGAAGCAGGAGAGGGGTGGGGGGAAAAAGGGCAGGATAGAAATGGAGCAGTGGTGAGCAGGACTTGAGGTAGAGGAGGAAGGTGGAGGAGGTAGCTTGGAACAAAGAACTGTGTGAGTTTGTTCAGGGGAAAATTGGTATGCGGTTGTGTAACTGGGGGTTGTATCATAATGCAAACATCCAAGGTGGGTATGAAGGTTTGCAGGCATTTCCCAACGCTGCAATCTTTACTTTGCAATCTTAATATTCTCTTAGTGGAGCTTTTTATGTAATACTTGGTCAATCTATATAGATCAGAACCGAGCACCAGGATGCACAGACCTCCTCCTTCTTGTGGTTTTGTATCCCACAGTGTGTCCCTGGCACCTTGACAGTTACAAGTCTCTTTGTCACGCATTGTGCCTACCTATTGCAACATGCCTGCAATGAACATGCCATTCAGACTCCCCTAATGCCTAGTCATAACAGGATGGATTAAGAATGGCATTTCAGCCTTCCTGAAGAATTTCCTTGTTTTTGCTGGTCTCTCAGGCCTATTGAGGCTGTGCAGGCTCACAAGATCTCGTTTGGTGGTGCTACCCCTGAGGGTAGTTTTGGGAAAGCCTTTTTGCTTGTGTGATAGTGACTGCAGTCTCCAAGCCTCTATGTGTACCCAGCACATCCGAGAAAAGAGGCAAGAATGAAGACAACTAGTATTTGCAGGAGCTGCAGCAGGGCTCAGATGCTCAGGTCTTCCTCATCCTCTACACATGGGAGCATGCACTGACGTCCTCTGCCCACACAGCTGTCCCTCTGAATGCCAGGGTGGTGGGAAGTCCCTCAGGACCAAGGCCATGCTGCGTCGTGGCCTGTGCTGCTGCAGACCAAATGCTCTGCACATCAGTACTCCCACTCTGGCCACAGAAGCTAATCAATTGCTGCTAAGGGAAGACTTCTTTAAACCTAACACACGTCTTGTGTTGCTTTGTCTGCTTTGTCACATAAAATATTGTCTTCTTTCAGCTGGAGTCTTCATTCCAGCAGGAAGGGTGGGAGGTGCATAAGCACGAAGCAGCTAGTGGTGCCCTTTGGCTTTTGTCATGTGCCAGTTTGAATCCAGAGCAACTCTACTGAAGCAAACCATTCTGAAGGCCTGTTCTGCCTGTGGGTGACAGGACATGCCTGCCTTCACGCAGCAGCTGCTTTCTGCCTTGCCAGCACCCTTGCTTGGCCAGAGTCATTCTTAACCCCTTGTAACAGCACAAGTTTCCTCCAATGGTTTCCCCATCAGTGCCCTTCCAAAAGGGTGGGGTTCTTTTCCTGGCAGTATAGGTCAGTCTGTTTTAAAGCTGTATAATCTTTTTGTAAAGAAAATGAGCCAAACTTAGTGTAAGGTGTTGTTTCAATGGGTGATGACTTGCTGTTTTCTCCATGAACTTTTGCTGTAAGAAGGCAACATGTCTCACCATAACATTTTTCTTGGTTGAGCACCGCACATTTCCCCATGAGGGGAGAATTGCCAGACCTTGTTGGATCAGTGCAGAGGCTTCCTTTGTAACTGTATCCAGACAAGACTCGAGATAAGACGTAAATGAAAGCAACTGGTGAAGTGCTATGAGGAACAATTGAGGCCTGAAACCCTTCCTCCTTTCCCACCGCCTTGAGCCACATATTGTGGTGAGGTGCAAGTTCTCAGTCAGCTGAAGCGAGGCCTGGGCTGTGCCAGACATCACGTAGAGCAGGATATTGTCCAAAGTCAGGGCAAAGTGTGCTTTGTGTATGCTCAGGGTACGGTCTTGGCCTTGTGGAGGGATGTCGATGGCAGTGTTCCCATTGACTTCGTTGGGTTGCGGGGTTGCCCTTAGCTTCACTCTTTAATCAATGTATGGGGGGGAAAAAGGGAGGTGGCCAGGGCATACCGTGGCCAGGGCAAGTGTGTGACGCTTCTCTGGGGGTGGTGGTGTGGAGAGAGAATTCACTGCCCACCTGAGGAGCAGCTTGGGTGAACAGGGTTAGATTTGGTCCAGTGTGGTAAAGCGTTTGGGAGACAAAGGGAGAGTGGCACTAAGTCTGTGTAGGTGAGATGCCTTTGGTGTAGCACTGAACCACAAAACCCTTCCCGTCTGGTAGAAGTGTTCTGGAAGGGTGATCTAGGATCTAAGGGAGCTTTTTTTGTGTTCACTGTTACTGGCATGGGTTCCAGTGGGACTGAACGGTGGGATCTGAGCTGTAGTTGTTCCCCTGGATAAAACAATGATCTCTCTCGTGGGGGACTTTCCATCCCGCATTTGTTCAGAGGAGGATGATTAATGCAGGCCAATGGCCTGTCATGCTTAGGGAAACTGTAATGGTAACAGAATTGGGATCTTGTTTCTCTGTCCTCC